CTCACTATGTAGCTCAGGCTGGCTTTGAACTTGCAGTGATTTTCCTGCCTCTGTCTCTTGAGTGCTGGGATTACAGGCGTGCACCACCATGCCCTACTCAGCTCTGCTTCTTATAGTTGATTTCTCCATGAGTGGTGGTGGTTTCCTCATCAGGGATAACAGCAACAGGGGTCTCACAGTGTCCCTTGAGGAATAAACAAGTTAGTGCCAAAGAGGGCTTGGCCAGCAAACACGGGATGAATGGTGCGTCTTCCTAAGTCTAGGAGCGAGGCACCACCTACGATCCCTTTTCCACTCTGGAAGGGAGTAAAATATTACAACGTGGATATTTAAAGCCTGAAAAGTGAGTGCACACCAGGCACGGTGACACACACCTGTAATTCTACCACCATGAGTTTGAGGACACCCTGGGCTACATAGTGGGACCCTGTCTAAAAAAAATTAACAATGAATGGATACACACACTCACACTCACACGCCTATTTGTCTGTGGTCATTCTGGGTGGTCATGAAGACGAAAGAAGCCCAGAGAAGGGAAACTGTACATAGAGCAGCTCTCTCCTCCTTTCCCATGTACCAGAACCGGCAACAATCAGTGTAAAACACTGTTCAAACGGCATGGTAGTGCACACCTGTAATCTCACCACTCAGGAGACTAAGGCAGGACGATTGCTGTAAGTTTGAGGCCAGTGTGGGCTACATAGTGAGCTCAAGGCCAGCCTGAACTGCATACCAGGACCCTGTATCGGAGAAAAGAGGAGAAAAGAGGTGCCGGGCATGGTGGCACAGGCCTATAATCCCAGCACTTTGGAGGCTGAGGCAGGATTGCTGCGAATTTGTGGCCAGCCTGAGCTACATATCAAGACTCTGTCTAAAACAAACAAACAAACAAAATAAAATACCAGAGAATAGAAGGAGGAAGAGGACTGTGTTCATAGCCAGGCATGGTGTCACATGCCTGTAATCTCAGCCCTCTGGGAGGCTGAGGCAGGCAATTTAGCAAACCCTGTCTCGAAATTAAAACATACACGGCCGGGGATTTAACTCAGCGGCGCTGCACCTGCCTCACAAGCACAAGGTCCTGAGTTCCATCCACAGTACCAAAAAAATTAAAACATAGCAAAAAACCAAAAAAGACTGAAGCTGTAGCTTAGGGCAAAGGTCTTGGGTTCAATTCCCAAAGTCCCCGGTACAGAAGAAAAAAAACCCACCATGTTCCGCAGGAGTTTATGGAAGAGGGGGTCATTCAGTACAGTAAGGAGCGCCCATTCCGGAGAGCAATCTGTCAGTTTTTGGAGAAATGAACTATGGAGTTCCTCAAGACTCAGGTATCCCCTCTGTGGCAAGCCTGTAAAGTGTGTGTGTTCTCACACACGGACGTCCCATTAGGAAGTGAGGCGTGGAAGGAACACTCACTGTTAGGGCCAGACACGTGCAATGTTCTGGAAATGGAATATGACACAGCAGAGTAAAAGAGGGAGGACTGGGGATTGAGCTCAGCGGTGTCACCACCTGCCTGGGAAGTGCAAGGTTCGGAGTTGGATCCCCAGTACCCCCCAAAAAAAGAGGGAAACTAACATCATTGCAGGGCTCAGTGTAGGCCAATGCTACAAAATTTAACAGTCCAGCTTGTCCCGATCCTATGGAAAGGTACTAGTATTTAAAATTCCCATATTACAGTCGGAGCAAGGGAAGCCCAGAAAGGTTAAATAACTTGTCCGAGTTCATTCAGCTACTGAGCAGCAGAGTCTGACTTTATACCGCAGAAGCTTCTCCAAGGTCTAGACAGTCGCTCCTCTCGAGGCAGAAGAAATATTTGCAAGATCTTGACAGAACAGGAAAGACGGGAGGGCCAAAGATTAGGCACTTATGGCACTTAAAATTAGTGCTTATGGGTGGGGAGGGGAGGGATTACCACGTCTGCTGGTTCTAAGGGGAGCAGCCTAGGGATCCCTAGGGAGGGAGGAGACTGCGGGGTGACAAAGGGTGGGACTGGGGTCCCGGCGCAGGAGGACACCGCCACACTGTGACCAGGGCCGCCCTGCAGCCAGCCATCAAAGCCCAGCTCTGCTACAGTTCCACTAGCGATCTGGCCTCCCGTGCCTTAGTTTCCCCACCTGTACTATTTGCAAAGTCATACTCTGGAAAAAAAAAAAAAAAAAAGCTCCTTCCTCCACAAAGCCAAGGTGAGAAGGAAAACAATGCACAGCCGATCCAGCACCAGCACCAACACAACAGCAGATACGAGACCTGCAGAGGAGTCCATCGGCCTGTGACTGGCTAAAAATAACATGGTGCCGAAGCAATGGAATGTTATTCAGTGACGTTGAAAAGAAGCAACATGGACTGAACATTGGAAATGAAATAAGCTAGAATAAGCAGTAAAACAAATACAGTACCAGATATTCTCACGCACATGTGGAAGCTAAAACAGTTGGTCTCAAAGAACGACAGGGAGCCAGGAGCTGTGACAGGTGCCTGTAATCCCAGGGGCAGGCTGAGGCAGGAGGAGTTCAGCCTGGACTACATGCTGAGACCCTGCCTCTGGGGAGGTGAAAGGGTGGGGACGGAAGGAAGAGGCGGGAACCAAAATATAGTTACAGGAAGAGGAATAAGCTCTGGGGCTCCCCACTCAGTGGAGTGACTATAGTTCCCAAAACCGATTACATATTTCATGGGGATCTAGAACACAGGCCTTTGAGGGCTCTAAACACAAATAAATTATAAGGAGCGGGCAGTGCTGATTATCCTGACTTCACCATTGCGTGGCAGAAAGTAAATTATCACACTGTACCCCATAAATACGTACAAGTCCATGTCAACTAAAAAGAAAAATGAGCCCCGAGTGCTAAAGCACGCCTGTAACCCCAGCTACTAGGCAGCCTGAGGAAGGAGGGTTGCGAGTTTGAGCCCAGCCTGGGCAATTTAGTGGGATTCTATCCCAATTTAAGAAACAAACAAACAAACCAAAAAAAAAAAAAAAAAAAAAAAAAAAAAAAAAAGAAAATAAAAAAAAAAAAAAAAAAAAAAAAAAAAAAAAAAAAAAAGAAGAAGAAGAAGAAGAAGAAGAAGAAGGGAGGCTGGGATGTAGCTCAGTGTAAAGATCTTGGGTTCTACTACTGGGAAAATAAAAAAAGGAAAAAGGGATGTAGCTCAGTAGTAGAGTACTTGCCTAGAATGCATGAGGCCCCAGATTTATCTACCAAAAAAGAAAAAACAAATTTTAAAAGGAAAAAGAAATAGAGTCACATAGAGGGCTTCTCGATGTGCTCACAGGAGGCTGGGATGTAGCTCAGTGTAAAGATCTTGGGTTCTACTACTGGGAAAATAAAAAAAGGAAAAAGGGATGTAGCTCAGTAGTAGAGTACTTGCCTAGAATGCATGAGGCCCCAGATTTATCTACCAAAAAAGAAAAAACAAATTTTAAAAGGAAAAAGAAATAGAGTCACATAGAGGGCTTCTCGATGTGCTCACAAGACTCCATTGGTATTTCCTTTGGACACAAATCGGCGTCCGGTCTGACTTTCCTTTTTTGAAGGCGACCCCAGCCGCGGGCTCGAAAGTCTGGGAGAGGCTGAGGAAGGAGTAGCAGAAGGTGATGGCCCCCTGCTGGAGGGAGCGGAGGAAAAGACCCAGGAGAGAGGGTCTGCTGACGATTGGCGGCGGGCCTGAGCTCCAGGGAGAGTTTGGATTCGATCCCAGGGACAGGAGGGAGTCCTCGCCGGAGAGGTCGGGGCTGCGCGTGGGGGCGGGGACTCGGTCAGAGGCCAAAAGCACAAAGGTGGCAGCCAGCCCGGGAACACAGCCCTGGGAGACAAGAAACAGGGAAGGATTCTAGGCCGGGCTCAGCTCCCAACGTACTGTGGGCTCCTTGGCAGGATTAAGCTCTCCCTGGACCTCAGTTTCCCCACCCTACAAAGAGGCTGGTAGGAATGAAAGACCTTCCTCCCCAGGCCTCTGGGTGCGCGGGAGTTATTGCTCCAGCTTCTCTGATCCTCCTCTCTCCCAGGTCCTCCTCCAAGGGTGCAGGATGCGCGCACCGCTCCTCAGCCCCTCCCCCAGCCCAGCCCTGCACCCCCAGGACGGGACACCGAGGTGCCCTGGCCTGGGAGCTGTAGGACGTGACTGCAACAGAGAATATTTGCGAAGCACACACTGTGCAGGGGTGGAGCGGGGGGAGGTCTTCCTCGATATTCTCATTTGAAAATGGGGAAACTGAGGCTCAGAAGAGGTGAAATGACTTGCCCGTGGTTGCAGGAGAGAACTGGGCCTCCAAGACGGCTTCCCATCTGCACTGCTGCTGCCTATCATCCTGGTCCAGCCATGGCGTCTCTCACCCAGATGGTCCAAGTCGCCTCCTGGCTTACTTCTGTCACTGCCCCTTACCCTGTATTCTTCAGGTGCAGTGAGCAGATCTTGAGACAATACCTCAGTCGGCTCGCGTCCTTTCTCTGCTCAAAACCCTCCTGTGGCTCTCTTAGCTAAGAGTCCATTCTAAATCTTCAACAGCCCTCAAAACCCAACACATTCTGTCCTGCCTAACTCTCTGGCCTCACCCCTCGTATTATTCCCTCCCCTACTCCTTAGCATTCCTGGGCTCCTGGTTTTCCCTCCAACTCACCAGCCAGCCTGTTCCTACCTCAGGGTCTTTGCACCTGCTGCACCATCTGCCTGCAATGCATAGACCACATAGCCCACTCCCTCACCCCCTTCAGGCCTTTGCTAGACTTCACCTCCTCAGTGAGGCCTCCCCTGTCCACTGTGTTTAAACTTCCACCACCCTTAAACGCCATTCTCTACCTCTCCTCTCCTCTGATACATTTGTCCCACAGGGCTTACCATCTTCTGTACGTCTTAGCTCTTTTACTTGGTCATTTTCTGTCTCCTTAGAATGAGAGCTCATGAAGCCGGATGTGGTGGTGCACACCTGTAATCCCAGCACTCAGGAGGCTGAGTCAGGAGGATCGCTGCGAGTTCGAGTCCAGCCTGGGCTACATAGTGAGTTCCAGGTCAGTCTCAATTACATAGTGAGACCCTGTGTCAAAAACCAAAAAAAAAAAAACGGACTAGCAAACAAACAAACAAAAAATTAAAAAAAAAGAATGAGAGCTCATGAGATTATTTGTGTCTGTTTTAGTCACTGCTATTGATATATCCTCAATGCTTAACATCAGCTCACAAAGTATAGTAATTGCTCATTTACCAGTCACCGAGTGGTTGTCAGTGTTCATGTTTGGCCCCACTACACTTTTGTGCAATGTACCGAGCTGTTGTGTGTTGCCTTCTGACCATGCCGCTCCTGCCGCCCTCCCAGGTGTAGAAGCCGGCTCCATTCCAGCTCCCCCGTCTGACCCCTTTCCTTCAAGGGTCCCTCAGATGTCCAAGTCATTCTCTGCTCCAAGTCCACCCCACCAACTCCACACCAGCATTTTTCCTGCAGTTCCTCAGAGTTGGTTAGTGGGCTGTGACATCAACTAGCTCTTTTCAAAAGGAGACAAGAGTCAGAGTTTGAGCACACAGTCTAGACAAAGCGTAGACTGAGGTGCCGGGGAAGCACGGTTCTGTGAAACTTTTCTTTCCATTTGATATGCATTGCGTCATGGTTGAAGTGCATACCTCACTGAGTTGGAAAAGCTTGCAAAACCCTGAACTACCCAGTCCTTCCTCTCCCAAAGCCCATGAACTGAGTGGATGGATGATATTAATATCAGCTCAGATTTGTCTCTCTGCTGAGCCCCATGTCAGGTGCTCACCCAGGCTTGAGGACTCCTCACCACACCCTGAGGGTGATTTTGACTCCATTTGACAGATGGTGACACTGAGGCTTGGGCTGGGGAAAGTCCATGCCTAGGGTCACTGGGCTGGGAAAGAGAGGAGCGGGCTTGATCCCAGCAAGCCTGCCTCCTAAGCCCGCGCGTGTGACACCTGCCCACTTGCCTGCTGGCCTGGCTTCTCCTGATCTGCTCCCTACCCATAAGGAATAGCATGTGCCCAACCCATGCTCAGCCCCCTACCCTGGTGCACACTGCCTTGTCGATCCTCCCGAGGTCCCAGACAACAGCATCCCTTCAACCCCCTCTTGGCAGGCTAAAAACCTGTGGCCTTTCATTACAGAACACACAAGCTAGACGGTATTTGCAGGAGTCCACCATTCTATTATGCTTCTCCAAACTCCCCTCTTTGAGAGGCAGAAAAGAGAAATGGAGAAGAACGTGTCTTTTCCCAGGTTCAAATCCATCCCACCCTTTAAAACTTCATAGCTGTGTAACCCCAGGCAAAATCTCTGTGCCTCAGTTTCTTCTTCTGCAAAATGAGGATAATCATCAGAACCTTCCCATAAGACCATGCTTGAGACTTTAGTAAGTTAGAACACAGGCAAAGATCTTCGAGTAGTGACCACACCCCACAGTGGGAAGCCTTGGGACAGCCCTGGGCCACTGGATTACTGTTTAACCCCAGTTGGTCACAGAGGAGGGAAGTCCCTTGCTAGCTCACCCAGCTAGGAAATGGGAAGGTCAGAATTTGGCTGCAGATCTGCCTTGACTTTGAATTACCAAGTCACAACAGTCTTTTAAGGGGCATTAGTGCCAACAGCAGTTATTTTCCAAATTCAGGAATGTGAGACTCAGAAAGGGTAAGGACATGCCCAAGTCACACAGTATGTAAATGGCACAGCAAGAATTCAAGCTCAGGCTGTGCATGGCCAGGTGCAGGTAGCCCTTGGCTCCAAGGATCCCCTCCACACAGCACGGCTGGGGCAGGAGAAAAGAGCAGGTGGGTACTGCCCTTGCTCCAGCCTGGCCTGAGTAGTGTCCCACCTTGGCCCCTGCCCAGACTAGAGTGGCCGCACCTCTGAAAGCTCTGGGATGTGACACTGGGATGGCACAGATGACAGCAGAAGGTGCAGCCCCTTCTGCCTGCCTCTGATTAGGGCCCTGCAATCCCCCAGGATTTGGCGCTTGGAAAGCTGACGTTGGGTTGCTATGGTGATGGGTTTGGGGCGGTTGCCATGGCAGCGGAACTAGCCTGCGTTTAAAAATATCTAGGAGGAGGTTTGTGTTTGTGTGTGAGTGTGAGTGCGTGACCAGCCGTGCTGTTGTGTGTGTCCAAACGGGAGGGTTTAGGAGGGATGGGTGGAGCTGGGGCTGTGGGCATGATGGGGAGAGTGCTGAGCAGCCCACAGCGCTCCCTGTTGTGGTGCATATCAGTGAGTGGCCCTGGAGGTCCAGTCTTTGTATGTTATGCTATGTGGGCCCATATGTAAATGTGTGTGGTACCCAATTTACACGTGCAAGGCATGATCAGGGCAGTTCGTCAGTTTATACATCTTGCATCACTGACATGTATGTCTTCTGCAATGTAGGCTTGTGGCTTGGATCATGTATGTAAATTGCTCAGGTGTGTGGAGTTTTTGAGTCTAAATATGTCCACCCAGGTCATACATGGATATTACGTGTGACCACCTTGATATTTGATATGCAGCTGCCATTTGTGTGTGAAAGCTCATGTGGTGGCTTTGGATGGAAGCTCCTGAATGTGCATCCTAGGTGAGGATGGGTGCCTGTACGTGCAGATGTGTGCACAGCGGCTAACCCTGGGAGCCTGCCTACCTCCATGTGCCTGGGGGGAACCGCTGAGACCGTGCACCTGTGTTACCTGGAGCAGGCCCTGTGTGGTTCTGTGTGTGAGGGGACAACTTCAGGCCCAACTCCAAGGAAGGTGGGATATGTACCTTCGTGGTGTGAGTTATGTGACTCGCAGAGCCCGAGGAGTGTATCTCAGCCTAACCTCAGTCTCTCCCTGTATCCTCCCTCTTGCCGCTTGCCTATCTCCATGGCAACCAGCTCCTCAGCTCCCTCCAGGAAGATGGAGAGGGAGGATCCAGGCTGCAGTGGACCACAACCTCCTCCCATCCCCCTTGGCTCCAGGGACAATGGGTGGGGAGGGGACAGATGGGCGGCCACCCTATCCACCCCAGGCCATCTGCTCCCCCTTATCCTGGGGACCCAAGAGCGTACCAAGGGAAGGAGTAGAGCACATCCCCAGCGCCACAGATGCCCGAGCTGCCGCAATTTCCCCGTCCGGCTACTTCTGCGCCTAATCTTGCCTCTAGCCACGCCAGGAAGGAAAGAATCCTTGGAGACCAGGAAACTAAGGAGAAGAAAATTCATGTGTCAGAGAATACAAACTATTATCCATGATCCATTCCAAGGAAGAACTTCCTACCTCCAACGACTTCAAGCTCTGAAGTGAGGCTTGTTCCCTTCAAATCCATTTTCCCTCTGTGTAACGGTGCACTTAGACAAGGCAAATCCCACGCTCCCGGGCTGCAGGTTTGTCATGGGAAAACCGGAACTGCCTAACGTCCTGAATAGTTAGTACTCCACCAGAGCCAAAACTGTGTGCTCCTTGGTTGCATCTGAATACCTGGGCCAGTGCCTGGCACTTAGTAGGCGGTCAAAAGTACTGCTGAGGTCGCTGAGCGGCATTTGTGAGCCTACCTTAGGGTTATAGGCTGTAGCTCAGGGGCTCAACGAATTCAGTCCCATGGGTCCTCGCAGCACACTTGTTCCCATTCTTCATGGGACAGTTGGAAAATCTGAAGGGGAATTTTCTTACTGTCCAAGTTAGGAGGCACCCAAAAGTGAAATTTCTTATTTTGACCACGCGAGGTCAGGTCTCCGAGGCTCAGTTTCCTCATCTGTAAAATGGAGATAATAAAAGCACCTCACAGAATTGTTTGTCCTGAGATTAAATGCGATGACGTCTGTGAAACGACTACTTCAGAGTCAATCTTAGCACCTAATAAGCGCTCAAGAAACTGTCCTTTAAAGGTGAAGGGTGGGGAAGGCATAGAGGAGCCCAGGGTCCTTATTCTGTCCTGGACGCCCGCAGGTCCCACTCACTACCGTCGTGAGGGGCGTGGTCAACCCGGAGGGACTTGGTCCAGACTTCAAAGGCGGACCAATGGAGGCGCAGAGGGGCGTAATCATGACCGACATGGGCGGGGCCTCGCACGGGTGGGCGGGGCCAGCCACTGTGGGAGCCTCGGGGAAGAAGATGCTCGGGCCAGCAGCCACCGCCAGCC